GAGTTTCTCGCGGACTTTCCAGGGAACAAGGGGAAAATTAATGAATCCAACCCTTGTTTGTTCAGATTTTAATTCTTTCAAGTGTTTCATGTTTTTTTCTTTTATGGTTCTTTGAATATTGCATGTCTAAGTGTTGTGATTATTTTTGATAATATTATATCATTACTTTCTTTTTTTAAAATAATGAGGCTGGATAAGAAATATTCAATTATCTTTTATTAAAAATTACAAAGAACGAGGATACGTGTAGATCAATCTAATTAAAACAAACTCAAACCAAATGTAATTATTTTTTTTAAATAGACGAAATAATTATTTTATAAGTATAGGGGAAAATCAGAGATACGTGCTGTTGGAAACAGTTAAATAATGAAGTATTGGAGAGTAAATTATAATTTATTTAAATGATCCTCCAATTATTTGATTCAATTTATTTCACAGTTCTGTGTAAATTTAATTAACATGTCTAATATAGGGCATAATAAAATAAATTATCTTAGATGTTAAAAATTAATCTAAAATCTGAAACCTTCATGAAAATAGACATTAACGGAAGCTTTGAAAATTTGTCTAGGACACTGTTTATTAAATATTCATTTAACGTTCGATAATTAGCTCTGTTTACATTGGTTGTCGACGAGTATACAGTCGTCTACGAGGTACACATTAACAAGGTAGCTATCGAACGATGTCAATATTAATCATTCACTCTTGGATCATCTCTTTGATTGTTTCTTCCTCATCATCGTTGACACACAGGGTCCAGGTCCTTTTTATTTCGACACAGTTCCTCGTGACACGTGCCTGCCATGGGACCGCTAAATGAGCGTTCGTTAAATTTTAATGAAGTCCCTGCACGATGAAGCTGAATTGCTTGCTGGTTACAGGTAAATCGGATTTTGTTGAGAATGGGTAGGGGGTGTTACTGCTGAAAATAATTGGGGAATCTCGTTAATGAGTATCGTTTTGGGGGATCGAAGGAAGCTATAAGACAGTGTACAAAAGGAATTCCTTTTAGAAGGACAAATATATATTTAAAATATTTGATAAATTATTCTCTTTCATTCTATAACATTTTTCACGTCTTCATTATAATTTTTAATTAACAAAGATACAAAAAATCATCTCTTTAATAAATGTAATCCTTAAACAAATATTTCACGTTTAATAGGATAATATTTCCATAATGTTTCAATAAAATGTAGGGTACATTGTCCATAAAGTATATTTAATTTCTGTGTCGTATTGAATACCTCATTAAAAGGCTGGGACATTTATGAATCAACACAGATCTCCTAATTATATCGAATAGGATATCGAACAAACAATTTGTAGATTTGTACAGGATCGATCGTTTCTGCTAATGACGTCTATAAATTGAAATCAGGACTTGAAATACGAATCAATTCTACCAATTAACATTAAATATCGGCGCTGTTGATTCGTATATAATAATTTATCTTCGTTCCGTGTATTTCACGCGTGGAAGTTTAATATTCCACGTTAATATTAATATCTTCATCGTGAAATAATGTGCCTTCCACCGAAATACCGCGTTCCCAGAAGGAATTACACTCGGCAAATAAACATTCATAATTCCCGCGGTGTTTGCATTAACGTAACAGTGTCAACCGAGCTTACGTATTTATTATGCCTTTACATTTATGAAAATCACCGCGGAACCGGTGGAAATGGTTCGTAGTCTTCAACCGTTGCATTTAACATTAGAACAACCGGTGTTGGTATTTAAATTGAAAATAAAATAAACGAAGAACGGCATTGAATTATACCGGAACGTTTCGTTATTCATAAGGAGATTTTTATTTTTCAGTTGCACCTGGATCGTTAACGTTATGCCAGTGTTATGCAAGCACGGGTCAAAGCGATCCATGCGAGCCGAGTGTTCTAATGTTTGCGGTAATCAATCTCGAGCGAGCACTCGTTTCTCTCGAAATTCTCGAATCGTGCTGTTTAATGAAAAACCACCGGCGAACGTGATTGAACAAACGCTTTCGGTAAACACTCGACCTAAAAGAGGAAACGTTTAAGAACGAAGGTAAAGATCGTGTTTACTCGTTTGTCTGAGAGCTGGTAATTTGTTGTCTTTTTATCGTGATACATTGGAAAATTGATGAATTGTTGTTGCTTCGTTAATGGAACTGATGAATTACCATTTGTCAATTTCAAGAAACATTCAATTGTTGACAGAGAAATTGAATATATCTTTATTAATATAATTTCATATAATTAGATACATCAATGTCTTAATCATCTATGTTATTGCAGATAATAACTACTGTGCCTTAAATAAGTAATTACATTTCAGATAATTAACTCGTAGCTTAATTAACTCATGTTATTTTTACCTTGAATACACAGTATCATATCTTTTATTTAGATAACTTGCAGTTACAAGGAAATAATTTTTATGACTCAATCACTTTCGTCCTTAACATTATTTATAATGAATAATTTTTAAGTTAATTAGCCGTTATTACCTGTACCTCCAATATCATACATTCTATCTCTTATTTAATTACTATTCAAAACAAATGGAATGGAGGAAAGTTGATTAAATTTAATTTCCTTGATCGGATCACTGTCATTAGTAATTTTATTTATTATATACAAATCCTACCCCCTATTTAATTATACTTGGAAATTGATTAATACATAAAAACTTGGGTAGATTTAATTTCTTATAATCAAACCATCTCATACAATTAAAACATTTTTATTAGTAATTTCATTCATAATAAATAACTCGTGGCTTAATTAGTCCCTATTACCTCTACATCCACCGTGCAACCTCTTATTTTATTATACTCAGAAAAACAAATAATACGAATGGAAATGGAGCAGATTTAACGTTCTAGGATTTCCTACAATAAAACAGCTCACGGGAGCGATCGTTCCTCACAAATATCCAGCCACCATTTTCAATCACGATCCGCTCATTAGCATAGCGTGAACGTAACACAAACACAGATCAAAGCGATTCAACGCAAATATCCTAACATCGAGCAGGATCGATCTAGGACGAAAACTCTGCTCCCTGGTAACTCGAATCGTCGTAATTTGATGAAAACCCGTGGACAAACGCGGGAACGAGCTAGTGGTCGTAATCAAACGATTCCCAGTGAAACGCGTAAATTAATCACCGCCCGCCCAGACACGCACCTCTGTACCCATTCTTCTTTCCGACAAAAAGGTAAGAAAAGATAATCGCCGAAAGTGTCAGTAACCGCGGCTCTAACGCGTCGTTGCTCCAATTTTCTTTCCGACTGACGAATAGAAAAAAAATCTGAAGAAAAAGGGGCAGACACAAAGGTGTCGGTAACGAGACTCCGTTTCGTTTTGATGGCCGCATTAGGTGTGTTTTCAATAGACCAACCGGGCCTTGTTGTTTTACCATAACCCATTGTTTTTCCATCGCACACTGTTGCGAGGCGAAAGTGTGCTGTAACACCCGTTCCGTAACGTCGACGGCGTATTAGCACCAGGAATGCAAATAATTGTTTGGCGCAGTGTATACAGGGTGGCGAAAGCAACCCTGGTATGCAAATAGAGTCGACTTCTGAGTGCCCCCACCAAGAATGGGGCTTTCTGGCTTGCACGTCGATGTATTGGCTCTTCCTCTTGCAGTTTATACACACACGGGCACGTACGAGTACGGTGTGTGCCACCAGGTACCAGAAAAGCTGGCAATCCCTCGGTTTGCTCGGCATTCACGAAACGGATACGCGGCAAGAAGAGTTTCTCCTGAATCAACCGAATCCCAGCAACAGTTTGGCTTTCATTAAGTCTGCTAATTCGTCGCGCGTTGGTATGGTGGGCGGAAGTTGTCCGGGTGATGTAATCGTGGTACTCGAAAGACGTTCGTTTATTATATATCGTTCTAAACAGACAGAAAGTTTATAACAAAATTGAAAGCTTTCACATATTTATTAATCATCTTTGGAAAGTAAATATGAAAAAAGAAAGGGATGAAATCTTCCGTCGGAGATCTTCATATCCGACAAGAAAAGGAGGTCACAGAAACTGCTTCGGCAAACAACCATTTCCTCTATCATCTATTTCTTCTCGAGGATAAAACATCCGTCGTTTCCTCTTCGTGTTCGAAAATTAATATCAGAAACAAACAGTCGGAAAAACTTGCCCCGCATTCGTGGAAATTAACGAAGAATAGGTTCGCTAAAGTTTCATCCGTTCGGTAGTTAGCTGAAGTGGAAGAACCGGAAGTCCGGTGGTACCGCGAATTTCTTGCGTGCGGTTCGGCAGAGAGCAATAAAGTATCGCATCTGGACGAGCGACGCGATTAATCGTCGGTTACGACAAGAATTAATTGCCGACGCGGTGATAATTTATCGTTGCTTGACCCGCGGCGATATTTTAACGCGGATATTTTTCGTGGTTCCAGCGCGCGATAACCTACGACCCGGTTTCCCGGGACAAAAACCAAGGAAATCTCGGCGAATTCCTTTCCGGTGTCTTTCGTTGTTTCCTGCTCGAGCATTCTGGACCTTATCGTCTCGCGATTTCATCTTCCCTCTTCGTCTCTTTGATCGCAGATAAGACTGCGTGCGAGTATGTGAAATGAGGGATGGAGTATCTTTGCGACGTCTTAATTCTTTCAGCATAGAACATCTTTTCTATTTTAATATATTCAGGTTCGTTTAATTATAAAAGAGGATTATTTAGGACAAGAGCGAAGTAGGACTTAATTTTTCACCGGGTAATTAGTGACATATTGAGCTTTAATTTTAATTAATTAAATTCTAAATTTTTAATCTCTCCCCTAGGAATTTTTCCAAACTCTCGATGGCCAATTTTTACCGGGAAATTAGTGACATATTGAGCTCTAATTTTAATTAATTAAATTCTAAATTTTTAATCTTCCTCCAGAAATTTTTCTAAACTCTCGATGGCCAATTTTTATTGGGAAATTAGTGACACGAATGGCTCGAACTTTAGCTAACATAAACTATTTTCTGTTACAGAAGCTGCAGACGATCGGCGAGGATTTCTGTGGTCTGGATGTGAACACACCTCTGGGTGGAGAGGATCCAATGGAAGGGTCGCCGGTGCTCACTTTCAATACCCATCTGACGGCGGTCGCTGCCACTTCGACCGGTGACTACACGGTCGTCTTCGTGGGCACGAACAAGGGTCACCTGAAGAAGGTCAGTGCACGATACTCTTTATCTGTTTGATCGAAGAAGAGCAAAAGGTGCTTGAACGGTACTCGCTTGTTTCATTAGGCCTACCTTGTACGTTCGTTATCTGTTTCACGAAGATTTTCCAAGGAAGCGAACCTGGTTCCTTCGCAATGACCTCCGACCAGCACAGTGTTTAACGTTCTTTCACCTCTGACACAGGATAACACGTCGAGATTGCGATGTGAGAATACTCGTCTTCAGCTTTATTTTTTCCTCCACCTTTAATACTTTTCGTATGCAATTATTTTGTCATCTCTTGCAGTTGCATCATTTAGGTATCACAAGATGCGTATTAATATTGAATTCCTTAATTACGATAATTACCACCGTATGTTATATCAATTTAAAGCTCGTAGTTTCAAGAAAATCACCACATTAATATTTCATCAATATTCGTAATATAAACAGATCGATGCTTTATTAATGAATACTTTAATTTTAATTGCTTAAATCCCAAAATAATAATAATCTTTTTTATTTATTATTTCATGTAAAATCTACAATAAATTGTCCGATTTTTCTTTTGTAAAATCCTGTACATAAATAAGAAGTATAAAGTATTGTAACTAGTTTTAAAATCAACATCTATATTTCGTAACAAATTTGAAATATTGTAAATTGTACATGTTTCTTGTACATTCTTCGTTGAAAATTCTCAAGCGGTCTCTCGATATCCGGCGTTTAAACGCAGAGCTGTTGGAGCGAAACAGAAGCAATAAAATCAGCAGCTCGTTGCAAAACGCTCGAACCCATTACGGTACGAATCGCAACGTCCCTTCCTCTCTTTCGACGGGGATAATTAATTCCGAATAGCTTTCGCGCGACTGCGAAAGTAATCACAATAGATATTAACGCGAACAGGACAGAATCGTGGCTGCAGTGAAATCCGCTTTCTAGCCGCGCGTTCCATTAACCCACCCTGTCCAGATAGCCATTACGGAATATCGTTGCTCGCGAAGCGTTAACGCTTAACGAGGCTAATGGAGCCCCATGGACTTGTCTCGGCGAACTTTCAGGGATCATCGAACGTTGCCAAGGCGTCTGTTTTTCTTTTGCACGCCCACCGAACCGTCATTTAACCGTTCGTCAGGTATTAATCGCGATGCAACCAGCGTAGGATCGTGAATCAATGCTGTAAACGTAACACGAGCCGTGTAATTGGTTTCCACGATATCGTAGGCGGTATAGAAAAGAAAAAATACTGCAAATAGTCGGGAAATTACGGTCGTTGGTTGGAAAAATTCAGCTCGCTCGATCTTTATCTGAATGCGTTTCCAGGAACGCGATATCTCACGGCTGGCCCTCTCGAATCAGTTGCGATTAATCACGATTATCCGGTTAAATCCTCTCTAGTTTCTTCCGGTTGATTCCTTCTCGTTATTCGAGCTTTATTTTCGGACTCGTGTTACCGGGTCTTAGGAAAAATTCTTGTACAAAGGTGGGAAATCGTGGAAAAATTCATTTTATTTGCGGTAAGATTTCTGTCTCTTTATGTATGCATTGTTTTATTATAAATAAAAGTAATACAGAATTATAATATCATTCTGAGATTCTTATATCTTTTATTTCTCCACCTTATTTCTGTATATTGAAGGTTTCATTAGGGTTATTTCTGAGGGTAGCATGAAAGGGTTAACTGGATCATCCTGTGTCTATATCTATAGATACAGATCTATACGCACAGACCAAAATCTTTTGGTCTACATCGGTGGCAATTTAATTCTGCTGTGTAAATTCAGACAATTTCTACTAACAATAAGTTCCTGCAAAGTATACTCGTTGGAAATGCATTCTTCTTTTTAAGGATGATCGGAGACTTCAGTGGGCGCATAGACAATGTCGACGTCTCATCAGCTGCGACATTGCAATTAAAAACAGCGGATGTAACCAACCGATTAGAATCTCACGGTAATAGTGTTTAATGTTCCTGAGGTATCTAGAAACGATGATGTCGGTAGGGTCTAGCCCGATTAATCACGATCTCCGGGGCTAAATTCCCGTCGATTTGTTCCGCAATCTAACATCAGAGTGTCCCGGCGTAAGGTGATTCGAAACGGTGAATGGAAAAGGAACCTTGGAAATGATCGAAAGATTATGGATCTGCCTGTTGCTGATCCCTGTATCGTTACATGCGGACCGGAGTTTCCAGGAAAATAGTCCGGCGGACTTCTTCCAATTAATCACAATTATCCGTTGATACCTTCTCCAATTTATTCTGCAATCTATTCGAGCTGGACTCTCTATCGAGCTGTCTGCGTTTGCGTAAGTTATCTAACGATAACTGTGCTTGATTAGAAACGAATCTGTTCTTCCTATTAGTTGTTCTGAAAAATTGAAAGGAATATATTTGCATAGTTTAAGATTGAGGAAATTAAAATAGAAAAGAATTTAAAATAGAGTTCTTACAAAAATTTGTGAGAGTATATAAATGCGAATATAAGTTTTAATATTTTAATCGAAGTTCCACATTCTGCACTCTGCTCTGCACTCTGCTCTGCACTTCGGGTCCCACAAATTTAAATATTTCATATATTAAAATAGATACCTATTAATAGATTTTATATTCTAATCTATAATTAAACTTAAATCGTCGCTACCTTCAATGACCCACTGCTCCAAATTTAAGTTATTCGCGATACAGTACGCTTTAATTGAAATGATCTAGTTCAGAGAATTAGAACATTCAATACTCGGTGAGATTGAAATCTCATGCAAATTGAGGGTTTGAAATAGGAAGCAAGCGTAATGATGAATGATCACTCGAAAGGTAACTGCCACGAAGAAATTAATCAACCGAACGTTGATTAACACGGAGTCAATGGAAGACCAATCACCCAATATCTCAACAGATAAAAGCCTGGTGTTCACCTTTCACGCAAACCGTACTGCTTGTCGTCAGGTTTCCTCGCAACAGTTATAATAGTCAGATTACTCACAGTTCGTTGGATAGTTTAATTAATTAGAACCAGCTGCTGCATTTGTCTTGAACGTTCACCAAGTGAAAAAGAATATATTTAATTACCATTCAAGGTTCTGCATTAGATTCAGATTTTAGATTTTCTTAAGTCGATCATTATTTGCATTAATTAACGATAAAGGGTTAATAAAGGGTTTATACAGTCATTTTTATCAAACTTTAAAGTTTTATTCTACAATATTTTTATGTCATGAAATTGTCAAAGTTTCAAAATTGGGCATTTGATATCTACGAATCTGATATAATCAGATTTATCTCCAATTGATTAAATGGAATAAATCTGTCATAAACGAACAGTTTACTTAGAACAAGGGTGATTTTTGTAAGGGCGTGGTTAACATTCGTTAGCAAAACCGGCGAAGGAAACGCGGAATCGCGAGCGGGAAATCAAAGAGGTGAGAAAGAGAAAAGGAAATTCTTCGTTCTTCGTGAAGAATAAAGAGGGGTCTCGGGGAATTTGCAAGGTAACGAAGTTTCGCGTGGCCCCGTCGTTATTCATCGTGATTAATTAAAGCCACCGCCTCGTGGCCGCGAATCGTCGGGCTTCGATTATAATTATCTGTGTGCAAACGCAAAAGCCAAATAGCTATGCGAATGAGCGCAAATACTCCGTGCAAATTCGTTGAAAGGAACACCACCCTCTACATTCAGGTAGGAGGATGAGGAAGTTGTACGTCTCTTTGACGAACGTTCAACGATTCAACCCGTTAAAAATTGATGAACGGTCGTAGGTAAATTTCTGGTATACCGGTTAAGAGAAACCTGTGTCTGAAACGAATATTAAATTTCAAGATAAAGCGATATGAATTGGTAAGGGAAGCGAACGATTTTCGGATGAAAATTGCATTCAGTCTTTTCATATTTTGCATGCAATTAGCGGCTGATAAATTTCATGGAGTTATTAAATCTTATTTTCTTGTTAGAGAAAATTATAAATATTCATCACCTTTATTTAATTTCTATTTTATCTCAGATTTATTCTGTAATTTATTAAAGCATGAAATTTAGTTCTCTCAGTCTGCAAATATTGTAAATTCTTGAAATTTTTCATTGCAATAATTAATGAAAAACGGAACAGGGTTTATTTAATTTATTGAAGTGTCATAATATAATTCTGCGCCATAACTTCGTGCTTGCCGAGATGTTCGAATTTTCTCACTACATTAATGCTAAACAAGCGTTTAGAAACAGTGAACGCGATTTACATACCGGTCATTAAGTTCACTGCGCTTGCTGGCAAGAAATCATTTTCAAATATAACACGTTTTAATGTCGTTTAAGCGAGTAATTATGTTGCAATTCGTTCGTCGGAGCGTGAACAATCGTTCACCTTCGAAGATAAGCAAAATTACAGTAAACATGTTAATTAGTGCACCTGCAGTTATCGTGTTATTAACGAAACAAATAAGTTTGACCTAATTAAACAAATTTCAACTTATTACACCAGGTTAATAGGATTTCTTCGTAGAAAGCTTTGTTTAATATAAATTTTATAGAGAACAATCATCTTTTGTTTAATTATTCTCATTTAAAATCCTATTTCACCTCATTGTTCCATCATTCTTGATTGAAACAATATTTCCAACAACTTCGTGGTTAATTAAATCATTTGAATAAGAAATCTTTTAATCGTTCGTATTGTAAACCCGGAGGAAATGAAATACGGTAAAACAAATGTAGTAAAAACTGCGGGAAAAGTGAGAGATATTTTTAAGTGAACGAAAGAATAAAAGAATAATGGAACGTGATGAAATATAGCGTACTAAAAGCGGAGAGGAGAGCCCCAGAAAACTGGGAATAAAGCAGTCGAAAAAGTAGCAGCGAGATAAGTTTCAAGGTAGGCAAAATAGTCATTTTGCTTCATTTTATTTTCATGCCATTCTGAGGGCAGAGAAAAAACAACGGAACCTCGGAAAAACAGCGGAAAAGAGCCCAACGGAGAATGCGTCTGTAAAAGAATAAGATTTCCATAGAATTTTGGACGGTT